GCGACGTACAACTGGCGGTGGCACGATCTCATCCAACGCTTGTCCAGATCTGACGCTCAGTAAGCCACGCGCTGTCCTTCGGTGCGCAGATCCGGCGACCTCTGCTTCAGATACGATGATTCGCGGCGTTCAGTATCTCTCTGAACAGCCCAGATTCGATTTAGCAGCGGCGATTTCCGTCGGGCTTCGGCGTATTTCGGGTGACCCGTGGCGACGTCATACCTGGCGGCATCTTAGGGCTGTTCCGACAACCAACGGCGGTCGGCGACTCCACGACAAGACGCACGGCCAGCACGTGTAGACAACACCTCCGGTGGCTGATTCGTGACGATTCCTTAATTCCGGTGACGTTTGGCGGTGACCCACATCTAGGTGAAGCCTGGATTGAGTTCTTATAGATTGTTTTGACGTCGACCCACTCGTTCGGACTCAAATCAACATTACCCATCAGTTTTTGACATCGGAACAGCAAGCCTAAGGCCATTCGAAGTCTATTTTTGGAGCACGAATCTCCTCGGCGACTACCCACTCCTAACCTAAATTGTTTTAGTGTGAGTTAGTAGGTAACGACCCACCTAAACTCGGTTTCAATTATATTTAAGTGTTTCTAATCGGTTACTAACCTCGAGATCGTACTTCTTTTGATTTAGGAAGTCTTCGACAAGCTTAAGAGCTTTAGGACACTTGGTAGTAAGTAGTTTCTTACTGGAGGGATTGGTTGTTGTGTGCTGATATAATATGGTTGCTTGCTCGTGTGCCCATGTGTGATATTTGCATGTTACTTGTCGTTGTTATCATTTAGTAAACGTCATTGTTGATAAAACTGTTGATATATCTGGGGAAAATTATGTGGTTGTGTGAGTAAATTGTAGCCAAGTAATCTTGGATGACTATGATTGAATTGTTGTAATGTTCTAATTGATTTTCATAATGAAATTTGTATACCGGTACTATAATTTGTTGTGTCGAAAGCATATTGAATATTTATGAGAAATCGGTTGTGTTTCATGTATGCTGGGTATCTATCAATTATACTTTGGTTAAGTTGTTGGTTGTGCCTTTTCTGTGAACGATGCCTGTTGGAGCTGTTGGATCATGCTGGACTATTTTAAATTGATTGGTTTTTTACATATGATTGTTTTGGTGTATCGTATATTGGACTGTATGAGATTGTTGATGCATGAGGCATGGCGTAGTAGCATGTAGGACTATTGTGAGAGTTTTGAGACATAACAAAGTAAGTAGACAAGGGGCGTGTGCGTGTGTTAATGTGTGTCAGGTGGGTTCTAATGTGCTGTTGTTGTGATGTTTGATATTATTTTTGATACGCTGTTGTGTAGGTAGCTCTTGGTTGTGGTAAACTGTATACTTGAGGTAGTGTTGAATATTCGTTGGTGATAATAGTGGAGATCTTGCCTTGTTAAACTGCTGAGAATGGTTATGGGATGATGTATGTTTACAACGGGTGCTTGTTAAATTAGAATCATTGTGATTATGTTTTTCTTATGAGATGTGGGGGTTATTGAAGCATATTTTCGGACCCTGTTCGCAGGCTAGGGGTTGATGTGGAGTTGGTTATGGTAAGGAACGTGGGATTCTTGGGGAAAGTGAATGGGTGAGTGTCAGGGCCTCGGGTATAAATGGTCGGGGGCTGATACGTCACCAATTGGGTATCGAGGCCTCGGGTAAAAATGGTCGAGGGTCGATACACCAATATTGGATAAAGATGAGTATCGAGGCCTCGTGTATAAATGGTCGAGGGTCGATGCGAGCAGTCTTTTGGAAGGAATACTATTGGGGCCTTGGGTAAAAATGGTCAAGGGCCAATAGATGGTGAAGTCATCGAGGCCTCGGGTATAAATGGTCGAGGGCTGATGTAGTAGTGTCGGGGTTCTGGGTAAAAATGGTCAGGGGCCGACTCTACTCGAAGGAGTTAACTGTGGAAAGCTAGGATAATCGTGATAAGCGTAGAAGTACTTGAGATGTTAGGGGGACTAGAGGTTGGTAGTTAATGTGTAAGGATGAGTTTGACATGTACAGTACATGTGGAGTCAAACATTTGCATAAACTGCTTCTTGTGATATGTTTCTATTTATTCAAAGCTCGAGAGTTGTGATAAGCATGATATGTTGATTCTTTAATAAGCATGACACGTTGTTCCTTGATAAGTATGCTGTTTGTGCATGACCCTTCAGATAAGGGCTGCTTACTGAGTACTGTGGTTGTATTCATCCCTCTTTTTTTCCCTCCAGTTTGCAGGTATCGAGCTAGCTCTTGGGATGGTGATGGCGAGGAAGAGGTTTGATCGGAAAGACCATTAGCTATGCTGCGTGCATTTAATTTCTTTTAGTTAGGATAGTTGTGGCTATTTATCGTGTAGTTGAGTTGTTAGCGGTTGGTCTTGTTTAGTTTTATGGTCTAAAGGATGATGTAAGGTTGCGGATTCATTATTCTTTTTAAAGCATTAATTGTGTTAGCTTCTTGAACCACGGGATTGTAACCTACTTAGGATATTTATGAATACATTTGTTTAAGTTGATCGTACTTGAATAAGTTTTTGCTTCATTGTCATTCGAGATGTTAATATTCATTTAGTGGATGGTTTATAATTAGTAGAGGTTTCCTTGAAAGGTTTGGCTGATGTGAAGTCGGTATTTAAAGGTTTATCTGTATAGGATGTGAGTTTCTCTTAAATCTTTAGTGATGTTGTTCTAATTGTTCAAGCTCTCGTGAGTGTTGAAAATCAGAGTAGCACAGGAAAAGCGTGGTAGCTTTATTGTTTAGTATTGTTGTGAAGACAATTCTCTTGTTTATGTGAAGATTTTAGGTAGTCTTAGTAACGGTCCCTGTTTGGAAATGGTGAAATTCCTGGGGCGTTACATGTTGATTAATATGGTCAATGAGTTTAATCAATTAATCTCGTATCGTTCGAGCTTCCGATCTGTAGGTCCATTAGATACCCTTGCTAGCTCGTAAAGGATAGTTAAAAACATGTTCAAATTAGTTAAAGAGAATTAAGATTAATTGTATGAGATAATGTATGTTGATTAATGTATGTTGATACATTATAACATAAAATTAACTTTGAACTGGATTCAAAGTTATCAGAGAGATGAATATTAGTATTTGATTCTAATATAGTTGATTAATTTAAGTTTAATTTAATTTAATTAATGTGATATATTATTTTGGTTAAATTAAATTAGATTTAATTTAATTTAATTAATAATTCTTTTTTAATTAATTAAATTAGATTTAATTAATTATTATTTTAATTAAAATTAAAAAAAATGTGAAGGAAATGGGAGGAAAACCTCCCACTTGCCACCATTAAATGGTTGAAGTGGGAAAGTGGTGAGGGAGGAAGTTGTGGCTTCCCCACCACTCTTTCTCCCTTTCCTTTACAACCTCGGTCCACCATTGTTGATTTTTTGAAACTACAAACGAGAAATCTCTCTGTCAATCTCTCAATCTCCCTTTCAATTATAAGATGGTTCCCACAAATCGAGTTCTTCACATCCAGAAGATAGCGATGAAGGTCATTTGGTAGCATTAGTGTCTACATTGAAGAAGTGTCTTTAAAGGTATGTTTCAATAACTTCCTTTTATTCATGCTTATGTCTTTTCTTCGTTGTAATTCTAAAACAAGGTCGAAGCACACGCGTTCGCGCGCTTCCGCTGCGAGATCCGATCCTTCAATGAGGGGACACACGCCCATCGCTATTTTGTGGACGGTCGCGTCCTTCGCACGGTGCACAAACGACGGAGTCGGCGGTCGCAATTCCCAACGCTGTTGGGATCCGAAACGGYGTTCAGGAAGGCTTTAAATTTCCTTAGTGGGGAGAATGATTGTTCTCCTTGCCTTTCATGTTATTTGCCCTTGTGACTTCTTCATACCTCTGCATCTACTATGGTTTATCGTCCAGCGGTGAAACACGTTCCAACGAAGGCGACAGAATAGGACCTTCTAAACATTGGTTCCGTGTATCAGGTACTGTTTTATGTTCTCATGTGCCTCCCAACATAGGATGAGAGGATCGACACCCCAATGCCAAGATGGGCAAGTTTTTACCCCCAAATGTTCTGGAATAGGGTCAGGCGCCCTTTTTCCCTCTTCGCCCAGTCTTTCCTGTCCCTCGGAGTAGCGTTGGCGCAGCTCGCCCGTAATGCCTTAGGAACCATAATGGCATTAGCCATCCTTTGGCCTGAGCTTGGCAACAGCGAAGGGATGACCTTGACCCTGTTGATTGTTTTAACCTTGACGAAGTCGATTCTGGGCTTCTCGGGGTTCTTGAGTTCCCGTCATAGGGCGCTCTTCAACCCACCGACCTCAAATAAACACTGGAAGGACCACAAGTTTTATGTGGGGGACGATGGTTGGTCGGCGATGGGCCTATCTGCGAACACATGCCCAGTCGCTTTGGGGAAAACGGTGAGCATTCTACCATTCCATCGTAGTTTATATTTGCATTTTTGCGGTTCTGAAGTCCTGGTTCATTTTTTTTCACAAAGTTACCCAACGGGATGCCACTTCCTTCATCGAACTTGATGAATGTTATGCGAAAGATTCAGGACATTCCTCTTATCATGAGGGTACCCACGTCTATCGCAATGAATGAAAGGCTAGCGCGTCATCGCCTCATTGGGGATCCCAACGGGCCGACCCGGGGCAGTGACGATGTTCCCAACCTTGTCGGTGCTTCGACAAGTAAGACTACCGACGACTTTTCTTTGAATAGTTCTGACGGGTTAACTGTCTTCTTACCTCTAAACCTTCGGGCAAGCTTGGTGAGGCCAATATTGGCCTCTCCATCAGGGTCGACTGCTCGCCCTATCTCTGCCAGGTAGGTGTCTTCTGACGTTGGCGGCAACAGTGGGAGCGAAACATCCACCAGTACAGCTGTGACCGTGTCATCCATAGCCCCTTCAAATCAGGACTAACGGGGGGAGCTATTCGGTTGAGATACTGACTAATCCGGAGGAAGTGGTACCCCCACTTAAGTGTCACCGCCTGGTGAGGTTGAGAGTGGTTGGCCCTTCATCGAGAGTGCACTTCGACGAGCCTAACTTTCGGGCTGCAGACGTCGCTAAGCCTTCATCGAGTAACATCGTCTCTTTAGACCATTCTGCCGGCAACTAAGGGGCGGTGCTCGTTTGAGATACCGCACCAAGTTTAGAGGATGGAGAAGACGAGCAACTGAGACTGCCCCTATAGGGGTTGAAGTTTCTGAAGACCGTGTCGAGGAGGCTCCTCGATCCAACACATTTTCCCATGGCCGGAAGAGCCGAGAGTGGATTATTTGTGCTCCTGCTTTGATCTTCCCTTCCAACCCTCCCCCCTCTGAATCCCTATCGCCACATGAGGGATATTTAGGAGTCGGCCCGGGAGATGGTTCGCCAAGTCTTTGTCTACGGACAGGTCCTGGGCCATTTCAACATTCGAGAGGAATGTCGTAATGGGGCTTTTGAGGCAGTGTCAGTGAGTTCCATCTTCCTCTAACCTTATCTTTTTCCCCATGTTCCCATTCTGACGTCACGTTTGGGTTTCTTCTATTAGCTGGCTGGTCGCTTACATGCCATATCCCTAGCCTTCCATGACGAGTTAGCGACCAGGAGGATTTGGGAATAGGAACAGTAGGCCGATGTCTAATGCCTTCGTACTAAGTTAAGCGAAGTTGACCAATCAACTGTCACACATGCTGAGGCTGAGCGCCTTCAATCTGAGAGGAAGAGTGCTTGATAAGATGCTTCACGAGAGGAGGCAAGGGTGGCCCTCCTTTGCATCGAATTAGGTCAAACTCAGCGCCGAGCAACTATGGTCGAGGCGCGCATCAGCGAGCTTAAAGAGGAGGCAGGGTCTCGCCTTGCCCAAATTGTTGAGTCAGAATCTAGTGTCAAGAAAGTCGCGGAGGATTGAAGATGGTTCGGGCCGACCGTGTCTCGTGACTCCAAGCTTGTTGAATTGGAGTCGCAGCTTTTAGAGGCTGAGGAGAGGCTTCTCAAGGCAAAGGAAGGCCATGGCTTAGTCTAACCCGGTAAGGTTTAGGGAGGCTGAGAACACTGCTTTTCACTCCCTAGGGCGGGAGTCCGCCCGAGCTACTGGCCTCGAGGTTGCCTTGGCTGATACCGAGTAATGTCTTGCTTAAACCAAGAAGAAATTACAGTTAGCTAAGGCGATTCTAGACGAGTCGGAGCTATTGGAATCTCACTTCCGTGGATATGCCGGCTTTCGCTCGCATGAGAGGGAGCTTCAGCAGGCGGCAGTCGATTTTCAAAGAGTTTGCCTGTAAGGCCAGTGTCCGGATGAAGATCTCCAACGTGCCATTAACGCCTTCGAGCACTTCCGAACAACTCCGAGGAGCCGTGACTCTGAGAATTATCTTCAACGTCTCATCTATGGAGATTATTCTTATCACGATGCACTGGATGGGACAACTGCTCATTTTGTTCCCCCTTCCCCTCGGACTTAACTATTTATTTGTATGGGCTTTGCGTTTGATACTCTCTTTTTGTAATCGTACTTGACTTTAATGATAGGCATTTTGTTGTTACACCTTATGTTTGTTTCTCTTTTCTTCCCCTTTGACCACCCCCCCCAATGTGGCTTGTACATTGTATCTGCGGTGGTGAAGTCACTGTTATGTGTTTTAGAGGTTTCTAGAGTTCTTGAATAAAGAAACTGAAGGGCATCCTTGTACCATAATTCAAGGCTTGAGATGTCTTGAAGAGGTGATAATGCTGAAAGAGTTCCAAGGGTCTGGTTGTTGCCAGGTAATCATTGTGCAGCAGCTTTGGCCTTGGTTGGACTTTTGTGATATAGGTAGTTTCTGCGTACTTTGGATACATCTGAAAGGGAGCCTTGATCAGCTCTGCTACTCGGGGAAACGCCTTGGAACATTAGGTCTCTAGAGGCTTGACCACGATCGAGTGGTTGCCACATAGGCAGTTCGGACTCGGGGGCAACCTTGAAACTTTGAGTGTTCCTGAAAAGTAGGGAATGCGTCCAAATGGGAGCCCTGGTCAGCTCCTCTACTCGGGAAAATGCCTTGGAACATCAGGTCTCCAGAGACTTGACCATGGCCGAGTG